ATTTTATTTAAATTATACTATGTTATTGTAACATTTTTCATAATGTGGAATTTACATTGTATAAAACTAACCACTCTAAAGTACACTATTTGGAGGCACTCAGCACATTCAGTCTGTTGTGCAGCCACAGTCCCTATCAGTCAAAACATTTTCATCACCCCAAAAGGAAACTTGTACCCATTTAGTAGTCTCTTTTCATTCCCCATCCCAGTCTTTCCCAGTCTCTGGAAACCACTAACATTCTTTTTATCTCTATGGATTTACATATTTTGCTCTTTTCATAGAAATGAATTATATAATGTATGACTTTGGGGTCTGGCTTTTTTTGTTAATTGTTTTGAAGCACTACTTTATACATTAAAAAGTAAAGTGGGAAACAGTAAACTTAGGAAGATTATTAATTATCTACTCTTTACTCAGCTTCCAAATTTAAGTGCATGGTAGTACTTTATTCTCGACATTTCTCCCCATCTCAACAAACTAGTACCATTGCCTTTTGTGTACTTTATTATTGTTATTCTTATTATCATTATCTGACTTTATTTTTAGAATAGATTTAGGAAAACTAAGTAGATAGTGCAGAGAGTTCCTACACAGTACCCCAGGCCCTTCACACAATTTCCCTTGCTGTTAATACTTTACATTGGTATGGTACATTTGTCATAATTCATGAACCAATACTGATGCATCACTACTAATTAAAGTCCATAGTTTACTCAGGTTCTCTTACTTTTCATTTAATGCCTTTCTTTTGTTGCTATTCAGGATACCATGTCACATTTTCATGCCATTAAGGCTGGCTGCACCTTTAGGCTTAGGCTTCTTTTGCATGTGACAGTTTCTAAGACTCCTTGTTCTTGATGATGTGGACAGTTTCTGGGAGCACCGGTCAGGTATACTGGAGGAAACTCCATTAGTGGGACTTGTTTGATGTTTTTATCACGACTAGCCTGGAGTTACAGATTGTTGAAAGAAAAACCACAGATATAAAGTGAAATTTTCATTGTATCATCTCAGGAGTACAGAATCAACATAGTTTCTGACTGCTCGCCCTGACCTTGATCACCTAGCTAAAATACATTGTCAGGTTTCTCTATGACAAAGTTGTTCTTGTGTTTATCAGTTTTCTCCATTATAAAGTTATTCTTTTCTGTTTTCAAATTTTAAAAACTCTTGTGCCTATGATTTTGTTGAGCTTGTGTATAATCAGGTGGATGCTTTGTGTAGGTGCAGCCAGCCTTAATGGTTTGGATGGCCTTGTCTGGTCAGCAGAGGCAGCAGTCCAAATATGAGCTAATGTATCCAGAGGCTGTACGCTCTCAAAAATCTTCTGATGTAGTCAGAAGCCAGTGATGTAGTCAGGGCCACAATTGGCAGGAGAGCTGGAGTTTCTACTGGAACACCAAACACATCCATGCTTGAATTCTTGTTTAAACTTCTTCCCAGTTTAACCAGTCATGAAGTCACAGCTAATATGAGCAGTAGCATGAATGCAGGAACAAGTACTACAATTACATCTTCATTTTCATATATTGATGAAACAAACATTTCTTGCAACAGGTCTGTTATTTCACAAGGGCATTTCATCTACCCGATGAAGCTCCCAGTGATGAACATGGATTGTTTCTCTGCAGTGTCATGTATAACATTTAACAAATACATGGAGGACAATGGAAGCCCTGAAAATACAGCTACAAAATCTATGAAAATGGTCTCCTTTCTCAGCCTTTTGGCTAAGATCAAATGAAAATGGTCTCCCTGTTGCTTCCATAAAGATTCAGGCAAATAAGGGACTGACTCTGAGGTCTTGACACTTAGATTTAGGAATAATTTTTGCCTCGATATTTTCAATTGCCCAGGCAGGGCTTAAGCTTGTAATCCACATCCCTCAGCCTCCCAGAGTGCTGGAAGTATAGCCATATATCACCATGTCCAGCTTTGGCACACCCTCTTATCCAATAAGACACAGAGGAAACTGAATAAAGTTGGCTGGGTAGCAGGAGACTTTATACAATTACACAGAAAATAGCCTTCAAGGCTGAGAGCTTCAAAAGCTCATAAGAGAGCAATTGGAAGCATTGCCAATTGGCAGAAAGGAAGCATGAACCTAATTTGGGATTCCAGAATGTCAAATTTTTCTCTCCACACCCACTTTCAGCTAGGGCAGGGAGCATGAAGATTGAAAAGCCCAAATAGTGGAGGGTAGGGAGAAAAGTGTAGGTCTGGTGGCTGCTGTTGGGCTGGGCAGTTCAAGTGGTAGGAAGGCTGTTTGAGGGGCTTCTTTGAAAGCACAAGTGACCAGTGACAGGAAGCAGAGAAAAGGCATTGACTAGTGAACACACTTGGGTGGAAAAGAGAAAATGAGTGTTTTCTGTAGAAGAAAGAGAATGTCTTGGTGGTTGATCTTCAGTACTATGATCATCCCAACACCATATCTAGGTGCAGGATGTTCTGGCCTACTGAGAGCTGCATATCCATTTTCCCAAGCAATCTCTAAAGTTTTTTGATTGAGTGCCAAAACCTGTAGTCACAGAGACATTTGGAACAGATGGAGCCTTTTAGCTTGAGCTTTGTGACTTATTTTCTGCTTGCCACTGAAGATGAAGGAATAGATTCACTCAAACTCTCCTTATGTGTCACTACTTAAAAAGCATTCGGTCTTTTAGGAAAGAGTGAAATGAGCCCTGGATTGAATTTCGCTTACTGTCTCTGGTCTACTGGTTAGATGGCTAAATTGTCCAGCTTCTCCAAGTTTTAGCAATGAAAGTCTCATCTCCTGGAAAGCCCTCTGTTCTGGACAAACAAGGACAATTTGTCACCTTTCCTTGCAGTAATCTGCCTTGGGTATCTACATTAAGTAATTTCTTTATGAATAATCTAGATCCACTGTAGGCTGAAATAATTAGATGACTTCAGAGTGCATTACTTTCCCTTCTCTAGTAGGGCAGTCTGGTGAAGAAGTAGGCTCCAGGTACCAGCTCCACTGGCTGAGGCCTTAACATACTAAGGGTCAGATATTTTCCAGGAACCCTAGTTAAAGGCCATTGCTACCATGTGCTGATACAGTAACACATTTCTCAGAATTCTGGAATAACTAGGGTTTTGACCAGAGAAATTATAGCAGGAACACTGGAAAAGTCTTGAGCTATGCCTGTGTTTAGAAATATCTAGAGAGGAGTTTCTGGGAGAAACTGAATTGTTTAAGAGTCCCTAGTGCCTGACATTGATGCTCAGAAAAGGAAGGAACTTCTCTGGTGGGGAAGTGGGAAACAGGGTTTGTTTCCATTTCTGGTTGAGTCTTATTTGGCTCCAAAGAGCTTTGATCTTCAGGACCGCCCAAATAGACCTCTTCAATTTTCTCAAAATTATAGTATTTATTTATGTTTATATCATATCTACAGACATGTATTACACAGGTTTCCTCTACTGTGTTTCCTCAGCTGCATAATTTATTCTGCCAGGCTCAGCATGTCCTTGACATACCAAGCCATTAACTTGAAATCAGAAAAATTCTGTGAGGTCTCCAAATTCTTTCCTCTGATTATCAGACCCAGTGCTAGCTGAAAATAAAATCAGTGACTGGAAGAGAGAAAATAATTGGCCTAAGTGGTCACAGGAAAGTCTAAACAGAAGATTTTCTTTCTCTCCCCACTTGAAATGATTTATTTTCTTGGTTTTATGAGACTTTAATGAGGAAACCTTATCTGTATGCCTGGTAATTATCAACCAAATTCCCATTTCCTGTCACAAAATCCACAATAAGTAAAACAAAAATGGAGGAACTGGTATACTCTTTGACCTTTGACCTGTATGGCTGAGGAATATTTCATTGCCACACAGAATAAGTAACTATGAAGCGTGTCTGATTTTGCTCATAAACTTCTGCTTAACCTAGGTTGCCACATTTAATTTAACTCAGTACACTGGACTAAGATGCCACCAGTCCTCCTGGATGCTATACTGATTAGGTAGCTGATTTGGGAAGGGAAAGTACAATTTCCCTTTCTAATTTAATGTCATTTCTAGTCTGGACCAGTTCCTTCTATTAAGTGAATGAGGTCACACCTGAAGTGGGATAGGAAAGATGCTATGAACTTTGCATTTTGAATTTTTTTAAAATTTCACCATAAATGGGATCTCTTGCCCATGAATAAATACACTACAAATTGGATCAGGGAAGTTGCCATGGATGCCGACTCAAGACTTAACTGTGCCCCTCCCCCAGCATCTTGAGTATAGAGAGCTTGTCAATGTCATTGTGATGTCTAGAACCTCTAGAACAGAAAACACAAGTTAAAGGGACTCAAATGAACATACCCGGAAGACAGAGGCTGATGAATGCTTTAGTCTTCATGTCACCCAAAGCAGCTCAAAAGTCAGAACACATCTGGATCTTTATTTGCAGTTCTAGTTTAGTTAACAAGGTGAGAATCTTCTTTTCTTACACTTTTCTCTAGGTGTAAAATTTGTTATGTTCCCAAATAACCTACAAATTTATTTATGCTTGTTCTGTCATTTAAAAAGAATTTTGCTAATGTTTTCATTGTATCTTTCTTGGATTCTGGGCCAGTGATAAAAGAACCTGAGTAATAATGTAATGATTTATTTTAAATTAAAGAAATACTCTTTAAAAATGTGGTTTGAAGTTACTGTAGATAGAATTAGATCGGATTGTATCAGAGACAAAGTCCTCTCCAGTAATAAATGATATGGAACAAGTTTGCCCTTGCCATGTTTGGGGTGTGAGGTACCAATTCCTTCATTCTATGCCTGGATCCTTCCCCATTCTACCTTTCTCCATTGGGAAAAGAGGGTACCAGGACACTAGAAGATACAGGCAACTTACAGCACACATGGGTCTGCAAGCTTTGGATACACTGTCTTTTCATTTTTTCTAGTTATTAATTAACTTCTACTCTGTGACTTTACATTTGGCAGGCTATCTGGACTAAGGAATGAACAGGGTCAGGCACATCTACTCTTTGACTTTTTTGAGAAACCATTGCAATTGTCTCCCTGCTTTCATAGGAATGAAGAAGGGGCTCTTGGCATTGTGCTATTATCCAGACAGAACACACCTCATGATCAAGGGAGTCTATACTTTAAAACTCAGACAATATATTGATCTAGAACAGTACTGCCCAATAGAAATATAATGTGAGTCAGATAAGTAATTTAAAAATTTTCAAAGGTCGAGGATTTAGCTCAGTGGTCTCGCCACCTGCTGTGCAAGCTCAAGGACCTGAGTTCGATCCCCAGTACCAAAAAAAAAAAAAAAAATCAAACCAAAAGAATTTAAAATTTTTCAGTATACACATTTAGAAAAAGAAAAATAAGTGGGTGAAATTCATTTTAATATATCTTATTTAGCACAATATGTCCTAAAATTACCATTTCAAAGTATAATCAACTTTTAAACAAATGAAATATTATATATATATATTATTGCACTCAGTCCTTGAAATCTGATAAGCATTTACACTTCCACTGAATCTTGATTCCAAAATGAATCATATTTTATTTGCCCTACAGCAACATTTGGCTAGTGGATACCAGATTAGACAGCATGAATCTGGAAGCTTTATTTACTCCTGTTATTATATAACTTCAGATACTTTCCGTTTGTTACTCTGGGTACATAATGTGACTGTACTTGGTAATAGTGTGGAGCCTGTGCTAGAAAATTTTGCTTTTCTTGCCTTCTATTATTATAGCTCTCTTTACTATTCTTTCTGAAATAAAATTTAGAACTAGGTTAGAATTCGGATAGCCTCAGCTCTTCTCTACTTTAGAAAGGATGCATTAGTTCCCTACAGGCCTTCAGACTGTAAAGTTTAAACTCTAATTTTCAAAGCTTGGTACAGATAAGAATCAGCTTATTAAAATGCAGTTTCTTAGCAGAACACCAGCTAAGTGATGAGAATTTCTGGAGGTTGGGTCTAGAGATAGGTCTTTTAGCTGCATCACCAGATTATCTCATACCCAACTCCACAGACCCTCAAATATCAGTTTCTCTAGGAACTTCTGATTTGTACTCATGGTGGCCTTTGTTCAGCTTCCAGCAACAGACAATCCACATTCACACATACAAATGGAGCCTTCTCAGAAGGCTGCTGATCAGGCCCTGTCCTACATTTTATAATTACCTGGCTCTCAGTCAGTTGGATTCAGAGACCTACATAACACTCTCAAAAACTGAGAAGCTATTCTATGCTGTATTTTTAAGACTCCAACTCTCCTTTAGAACTCTTTTTCTTTATTTTTGAGAATACCAAGATAGCGTTCCATGCACCAAAACTCACACTTATACAACCACTTTTCTCTCAGGAGCTTTTAGGATATTTATAAACATCCTAGCATTAATCTTCATTGCACTCCTGAAGAATAAATAAAAGTGAGAGTGCCTTCATTTTTCAGGAGAGAAACTGAAGTAGTTGACTTGGGAAGAAAATTTAGGTCTGAAATGAAGGTTTAAATCGCTTTCTTTTTTGGTAGTCAACCTGTACTTTCACTTCTGATCACTGAAATCTATTATGGTCATAGTCTCACTTGAGACTACTTCTGGTAGAAATATTTTACTGAAGATACTGTGTGTGAATTTCCCATTTCCTGTTCAGATAGAGAGATAGGATTATTTTATGCTTTGCTGGAGACTTTAGGTGGGAGGTGTGTTTTTTCATTTCATACTTATTTGGAACACTATGTCTTCTAGAAAAGAATTATTTATAGCTCCCAATTCCCTGGAGCCAAGTGGTAAGCATTTGAAGACTTGCCCCTTCTAAGTGCTCTTGCTCCCCCGCAGAGCTGACAGAACATTATTCATTCAAGGCCACGGCAGGCTCAGGGAAGGATAAAGTCTCACATGGCAGGTGCTAGGCTGTAATTTCCTAATTTAGTCCCAAGGCCATTTCTGCCTATAGACTTGAGGAATATTTCTGTTGCAGAGACACATGTGTACATAGTTACTGGAGAGAAGGATTCCTTTTAAATAGATTTTGAATTACTCTTTTGGTTGCCCAATGATCTCTTTCAAAACATATACATAAATAGTTTCATTCTATATATATATTTTCATAATATAATTTTTTTTTATTTTAAAGGTCTTTTTTTTCAATGTTGGGTTCATTGTAGATAATTTATAAAATTATATATAAAGAAGAAAATTAAAATCACCTAAATTGCCTATAATCTTACCACCCCAGAGACAACCACCACTGCTTTAGTGTATTTCCTTTATGTTTTATTTTCCTTGCCTTTGTTTTAAATATATTTGAAATGACTGATGATTTAAAACCAACCGTTTTCTCTAAGAAGTCTTGGTTTCATTTAGTGGAAAATGATACTTAAAAACTGCAAGCTGAACATCAGGAATACTAATGCATATGTAATTGTTTGGAAATCTTTTTATTTAAAAAATATATATTTAAAGATATTTTATTTAAATATATATATTTATATATTTAAAGATATTATTCCTGAGAATACTTACTGATATTTCTAATACAAATTCAGGAAATAAAGGTTTTATTTATCCTCTTCTATTTTATACCGGCATCTCCTTTTTTCCACACGAAGAATCCTGATCCTCAATGACATAGGATGACGTAGACTATCCCATATTAACTTATACTCTTTATTCTATATGACTTACACAGTAACCTCAGGATACCAGTATAAATGCCCATACAACCAATGTGATTGATAAAATAACTTACTTAAACTGCATATCCTCTCTCTATTTACCCACCTTCCATTTGAAAGCATTTGTATTAGGTCTACATTGGCAAAGCATGTAACCACTCTCTCCTTTTTGTATGTTTTCTGTACATTCCAAGACCCTGTGCCAATGTTTTCTAACATTTCTGGTCAAAATGGTCATTTTTCTTGTTTTAATCTTTTTCTCTAGAAGATTCATCAGGAAAGACTCATGATAATAATATTACCTAAATTCTTCTGTGCTGGTCACAATTTGTGCCTTTCATATTTGAAAGAGTCAGTTTTGCTGGATATAAAATCCTTGGCTCACTTTTTTTCCTATTTCTATTTCAAACATGTTAATCCATTTTATTCTGCATTAAAATTATGTTTGAAAAATCTTTCCATTATAAATCATTTTCTCTTTTTGCTTAGATGTACAAAGGATTTTTTTTTCTTTGTGTTAACATCCAGTATATTTTGGTTTTGTTGTTTTGATTGATATTCTCAGGCACAAATAGTATTCTTTCAATGCACAGTATCAGTTTTATATTTTAGTTTCAGAAAAGTTTTCCTCCTTTATTGTGTCCCTAGCTCTTCCTCTTGCACTACAATATTTGAGGTGACATCTACTGGAAAGATGGGGAAAAGTACTACAGCAGTCTATGGTGTCAGTAGTTTCACTGGATTGGTTCAATGTGACCAGAACGGTGTCAGAGCCCCTTGTTTCTCCAAAAGGGACTTCTGCTGCCTGGACTATCCTTTCTTCCTTTCTCTTTGCAATTCCAGCAGTGGGGGGCAACTTGATGCAGCGGAACTAGCAACATAAGAACATGAAAGTATGAATGCTGACAATCCTATTTGCTTAAATACCATTGAAGAGGACCTGTCAATAGACATATGTAGACATGTACCTAGAAATATCACTTGTAAGCACAGATGATGACCTAGTCTGATTTCTGAGACAAGTTTTGCCCTTTTGAGGCATGGACTTTTCAATAAACCCTGTTTTGGAATGGTAATCATATTGGAAGATGAAGTTTCTTTCTTCCTCTAGTCTAGCAGAACGTCAAAATATCTTTCCTGTGCATCAAGCCTCTACTATTTTTATTTTATTTTTGTAAACATTCTTCACCTTATTCTACTTCAGCTTTGTGTGTGATTACTAAGTATCTATAACCTTGAATTTCTGAATATTTCGACCTTTGTTTAAATATATACTTTTTGTAGAAAGCTATATTCCAGCAATGAAACTTGTACTGTAGTATAAACCACCTGTACATACATTATTAGACCATCTGTAAAGATCCTAGAGAACATTCATTTTTCTTGAAGCACTTCAAAAATATTTCAATGTAAATTGTTATAAACCAGTTGGGAAAATGACAATGAGATAAAACACATTGCAAAGATGAAATTGCCAAAAACCTGTAATTTTGTATATGTGTATGAAATCTTTGACTTTAACAGATATTTGAAGAAACTGAGTGTTCAAACTATATCTAAAAAAATTAGCATAGCACTTGAAAAGCAGTTTAGCCATGAAAAAAATGCTAACTAGATATCAATTTAAAAAGCTTTAATGTTTGCTCTGTTTCTTTGCTCTGCTTTTCAGATTCCTGGTATCTGTATGTTAATTGTTCTTTGTCTTTATTTCTTGACACTTCTCTTGGATTTTTTATTTAGATTTTACAATTATCCTTCCTTTTACTTTTTATTTTTCCTAAGGCTTTACCTGTTGTGATTATTGATCCTTGTTATCCATCTACTCTTGACATCACTTCTGATATTATTTTTCTTTATCTCTTATTCTTTCTTGAGTTCAACCCTTTCTGGGTTATTTATAATTTGATTTATTATGTTATCTCTTATCATATGCAGTATTGTTTTCTTCCTGTGTTTTATCTCATGTTGGAATAGTAATTTATAGTTTTGTTTTGTTTTATGAGCAGTCTTTTTGGCATGCTTTCATTGTCAGGCTACTTTTCTGCTTTTCATTATGATTTATAAGTAGCATTTTAAGATGGGATTTGACTTCAAATGCATTTTATATTTTTATTTAAAATTAGCTTCTCTAAATTTAGGAAAAGATGCATTCAAGAGATTCTTTCTAATTTTATAAAGTACCTCCTCTTGTGCCATTTAAAGCACAGCTTTATAGAATGTGGAATTTTTCAGTAAAGCATATCTCATGTTATGACTGAAATAGCTGCATGGATTAGTGTATAATACCTGTGAAAGTGCACTTGGAAATAATTAAGGATCAGCACCTAGAAAACTGTAAGAATAAGTAAAACAGGACAATTGTTAATTCAGGAAAAACACATAGCTGTAGAGAGAAGAAGTAATAATAGAAAAATAAAGTCATTTACATAATTATGATGTTTGAAGCACTGATTATCTACTAAAACATGGGAAGTAATATCAGTGAGAAGAAAATATGGATACAGTGGGAACAAGAAGTCTACAGATACTATCCAAAAGTGTAACAAATAGTGTCATAAGCATACTGAGTGATGGACAGAATTTGGAAACAAATATCAGGGAAAAAATATTTAAAAACCACCCTGAATATAAGATTTTCTAAGAATTGAGCCTAGTGATGCACACCTGTAATTCCAGCACTCAGGAGGCTGAGGCAGGAGGACCACTGAAAGTTTGAGGCCAGTTTAGGCTACATAGTGAGTTCAAGGCTAGTGTGAATTATATAGCAAGGCCCTGTCAGAAGAAGAAGAGGAGGAGGAGGAGGAGGAGGAGGAGGAAGAGGAGGAGGAGAAAGGAGGAGAAGAAGAAGAGAAAGTAGAAGAAGGAGAAGGAGAAGGACAGGGAGAGGGAGAGGGAGAGGGAGAAGAAGAGGAAGAAGAAGATAGGTTTACAAAGTATAGAGCTGACCCTCCAAGATACGAATGCCTTATAGGCAATTTTCATTTAATTGATAGACTTGTTTTCTTCAGGCCCAGGAATTGAACCCAGGGTCTCAAACATGTTAGACTCTACCACCAAATTACACCTCTGCTCCATAGTTAATTTTCTTAGTTGAAACTGAGTAAACTGGGTGAAAATTTTTCCCCCAAAGACAAAATTTTGATCCCCATTAAAATTTACTTTTTTTGTGGTTCAGAACAAGACCTTTTGTCTTTCTAGCTAAAGTCTCCCAAATATTTTGTTCTGGCTGTACCAGTAGAGTGGTTTTCTGTTTGGTCAGTAGGTATTTCTGATTATATTTAGTTGCAAATGATGTATCAGAAGACTCTAAAAAAACTTGTGTTTTACTCTAGAAAGAATATTCATCTTCATCATGGTCTATTCCAAAACGGAAACTGTTTTTTGGCTTATTTTTTTTTTACTTTGGTAGTAAAGAAGTTCTAGCATACCACATTATATGTAGCTTTTTTAAAACAAAAGAACAGAATACAATGAATTTTCTAATATACACAACCTCTAATATTAAAACTATATAAACCATAAGTGTTCCCTCAGGATTTGTAAGAAGGACCTAATTTCTACTACATTTTTCTTCTCTTATTAAATTTTTTTCTTCTTCTAGGATGTTTTTGTTCATGGTTGGACATGGAATAACATGAGAAGAGTTTGGAAAACTTTAACTTGTGGGCCTCCTTCAGACTATCTGAATCAGAATCTCCAGGGTATACTGTAGTACTTTTAAATCATTTTTTCAGGTAATTTTGGAAGCCATTTTTGAGAAACAGTAACTCAGGTTCAAAAGTTATAATTTGGTAGAGTGCTTGCATACCATGCACAAGGCCCTAGGTTCAATCTTCAGCACTCACTGCAAAATAGTTTTAAAACATAGAAAAGAAACTTTTAACTTGTTATGAATATCACATTCACAGTGCCACAGATAGCCAGTGTCACTCTGGGGAGCTAAATATCACATGAGTGAGTGGCTTTAGGGTGTCCAAAAATAGTGTGGAGGGCCATGGAATGACAGGTTGGAGGATAGTATACTAAGAATATATCTGACTGTTTGCAAAGCAAGTCACTTGCTTTGCTTTTTGTTTTGATCCCTCCTGGCTCCTATAACAAAACTTTAGACTGGGTAATTTATAAACAATAGAAATGTTTTGCTCACTGTTCTAGAAGCATAAAAATCCAAGATCAAGGCACCAACAAATGTTCCTTATAGATGGTCCCTTCTTTGTATCTTCACATGACAGAAGATGTCAAAGGAGCCCTCTCATACCTCCTTTATAAGGCCACTAATCCTATTCGTGATTGAATCACTTTATGAGGGCCCCATTTCTTAAAACTATCACATATAGAAAAAATGGGAACAAAGTCTTTGTAAACAGGGAGGGATGGAGGGGTTGAAGGGAGGGCAGGGGAAGGGAGAAAAATAAGAGCCAAGAGAGTATGTAAAGGTGCATATCTCCAGTGATGAATGTCATTATGTTGTACACCTAAAATGTACCAATAAAAGGATGTACAAAAAAATACTATCACATATAAATTTTGGGGACACCCACACTGACACCATAGCATGTCTCCTGAATGTGTATTGAGAAGGTGGCTTAAGGGAGTGGGTGGGGCCTAAGCAGCAATACTTCCCTTCATACCCAGAGCTACCCCTGACCAGGATGTCTTTCCTAGCTCTGTGACCTTAGGCAACTCATTCCACCTCTAGGTTCCTTGATTGTCTGTAATGAACTAGATAAGTTGTGTATAAAGTACATTTCATGATACCAGGCCCCAAGGATTTCCCAATGTTAGAGTTTCAGAGGCAGAGATCAGCTTATATTCCAGGACACCCAAGTCTTCTACAAACCACCTACCTACTCCATGAAGATTCTGAAGTCTTTGCGGGGAAAAATACTGTTTACTGCTCATTGGAGCTTTGTCTTCAACTATCTCTTGGTTTGTTGGAATAGGCTAGGCTGCCATGAGTTCCCAGAATCCATGTTGCTGCTTCAGTTTAAAGGTGGCAGAATGAACTCCTTATCCCCTTTTTCCTGGACCCACAGCTACTCCACCCCTGCCACTTCTTCCCAACTATGGGGGATGAAGAAATACCCCAAGCATGGGGTGGAATAAAGCTCTCTGCTCTTTCGGCTGACATCACTGTACCTAGACTTTTCTATACAGCAGTGTCGGGGGAGAGAGGAGCTATTCCCCACTCCCCTATGCTGCTGAAAGGTATCAAAGGCAAATTGAACCCTGTGAGCACAGAATGCCTGGGATTCTTCCTCCCCCTCCGCATGCTAAGCCTTGGGTGTTCAGGACTCTGGGCTCCTTTCCATTGTCTCTTTGAAGGCACAGGGAAAATGACAGTATAAGCTTGTACCAGAGTCTTGTTGAAAAGTCAAATTAAATATAGTGACAACAGAGCCAATTTATCATTTCTCCCTTCCTCCCCACTGCTCTGCTTCCTTTATATGACTAATGAGGGGGGCTGCTGAAACACTGACAAAGAAACCTCTGCCCTCTGGATTCCATGTCACACAGCTAGTCATTTTTCAAATCCCGTGACTTTCTGCAAAACATTTTCTGCATCTGGCTCTTTCAATCCATCATTACTGTGAGGAAGCTGTGTCCACACTTAGATGATCTTCTGGACAGAGCATCCTAACCTTTTCATCTAATTCATTCAGTCAGTTGTTCATTTGTTCAACAGACAATTACCAGATATTTTTTATTATTTATTTTTAAGATACCTAAAATATAGAATTTATACATATTAATGAGGTATCACGTCATCTTTCAATACATGTTTGCATTGCAGAACATTTAAATTAGGTTAAAAATATTATCCTCTTCAAACATTTATCATTTGTTTAAGATGAAAACTCTCAAAATTCTTTCTGTACCTTTTGAAAAGTACAGTATGTTGTTGTCTGTAAACACTCAGAGCTTCTTGCTCTTATCCAGTTGTAACTTAGTCCACTGATCAAACTTCCCAGAGGATCCCTCCCTCCCCCTACTCTCCCCAACCTCTAGTAACCCCCATTCTACTGCCAACTTCTGTGAGAATCACCAGCAATTTTGTGGCAGACTTTGCTAAGTGGTGGGAGAGACCCCCAAAATGAAAAGAGATTTTCCCAGCAATATGTTTAGCTTACAGCTTGGGTGGAGAAAACAAATTATTATAATACAGTGTGTGGCTTGCTTTGAAATAAAACAATAAAAAGTATATGAACATACAAAGTTTTTACAAGAGAATCTAGGATATGAAGGATGGATAAAAGTTTGCTGGACAGAATGGGAAGAAACGTCCCCCACCTAAGGCCAATGCTAGAGTTGAGAATGGCGCATGTGGGGGACTTTTTAAAATTTGATATGGAGCACAAAGATTTGTAGGAGTCAAACCACAGGTTGAAGGCAGAATTTTGAATTTATTTCTGTAGGAACAAGGAGGCAAGGGTGGTTTTAAGTAAGCGAGCAACATGATCATCTTTGCTTTTGCAGACAGAATTACCCAAGAAAGCCAGTCTACCAGGAAGGATTTGAACACATTTTGTGGAGAGACACAGTTTAACCCACAATGTAGGGTGTTTGTGCTGTTCTTCTGATTCTACCACTTCGAATATCTTCTGGTGGGTACTCATTCCACATGGAGCAGGTTGTCCCAGAGGCAACTCCAGTATTTCAAGCAATTATATTACATAGTCAGCATTCTGTTTTCTAAAATTCATGTGCACTTATTTTTCCAGTGTTTGATGGCTGATGACATGCTTGACAAGGTTAGAAGATCTAAGTGTGAATAAACCAGGGCTCTACTTTGGTCAAATAAAATGGTTTGTGTTTTACACTTGCCAAGAATTGAACAAACTTTTCTGGCTAATGTATGATACTTAAAAGTTTTAAAAGGAAAGAAAATCAGTATTTTGCCCAAGAGTTAAACTAAGAGGCATGATTGGGAAAATGCTATTTGATATAATCATGCTTTATTTACAAGCACTTCTGGCAAAAGTGTGGAACCCAGTTGGGAGTGTCCTGAATTGAGCACACCATTGGGCCAAGGGAAGCCTAAAGAAAAGGCAGAGTGAGGTGAGCTGTATGAGGCTCCTTTCCAAGGTAATCACTGAAACCATGAGCCATGCTCTTTAGAAGCTTCTTCTGGCCTAGTGAGCATGCTGGGTGGTACAGGAAAGAAATCTAAAAGGTATTCAGCATTCAGCAACTGACTCCAAACTGCTGTGTCTTTATGCTTCTTCTCTCTGGGCTCCCCTACTGTACCCTTTTCCATCATCATTCTCCTTGAGCCTTCTAGTTCAACACACCATTTGCCTCCCCTCCTGCATCCTGCCTTTTATTTCCATCCTTAGATTCTTCCCTTTGGAATTGCTGAAGTATGACGAATGACCTCTAAGTGGCCGATCTCTAGACACCCAACACCTCTTCATGTCGGGCCACACCACGAAGGTCCCACATGACACTGAGAAGGAAGCTGTCCCTGGCCCAGGAAGCTTGGACTATCTCCCAGAAATGGAAGACAAAAATTAAGATACAAAATGAAACATATATCAATATAGTTGTCTGCTATAAACCCTATGTGAAGTAGAATGACTGTAAAACTTTCTGTGATTTTTTCATCCAGTGACACATAATATATCACAACTAAAGAGGGAATCTTGAAGATCTTGCTCCCTATTCACAAATTACAATCACCATCATTAATGTTAGGGTTACAATAAAAAAATCCCACTCAGTTTCTCAACTGTCATACCACTGTATGTGTTAAGATTTTGACACAGAGTAATATGGAGGTAAAGTTCAATGTTCCATAATAAGCAATCATTACATGTAGCTATCACTCAGTGTACCATAGGCTTCATACTTGTGCTATGAACATATATCCTCCCTGCCTTTAAATGACTCCTGCCCTGAGATTCTACACATCTAGAAACTATGAAAAAATGGCCAGATTCTCCACCACCCCAAGATAACAAGTTTCATATTATTTTGTATTAATCTATATGAGATTCATTTATATATCATTTTTAAAATTCTTAATTCTAAGAGTTGAAAATGAATTAAAGAAACCCATGGTCATTCCATGGGACCTGTTCAGGACTCATGGTAAAGTATTAGAAGTGGTCACTGTACACATTTTTATAAAAGTCTACACTGAAGAGTCAAGGTATGTGTGAAGTCCCCTGTGAGATGCTTGGCTTTACTTTGAATTAATTTGCTGTGAGAAGTGGGCATTCAGAGTGAGTGCAGAAATAAAACACTGAAGTTCATCAATTGAATCTGGACCCCTGGTGATCCCATGTGCCCACTTGAAACACTTGCCTGTGCCATTTCAACCTGAGAGCATTATGGCCACATTATTGTTCTCCAGAGAAAGCTTCTGGTTCATCCATAAACTGTTAGCATTTTCCACATCTCTCAGCTTTCCTTCCTATCTTTTCACAGCATGTCTCACAGTGACAGAAGCTGCTTCTTGATCCTTTACCCTCCAGTCGTCTCAGTCAGGAATATGTATTGAGGTCATACTGCAGGGCTAAAGATGCTCCATCTTCAATCTGCAGGGACATTTGCTGTAGTTCCAACTCTACCCTGTCTCTGCTCCTTGTTCCCATGTCTCCTTGGGGGAGGAGAAGTGGTTGACCTGATTGATGAGCTTGGGAAGAGTCCCTTCCTTCCTTTCTTCTGCTCCTCCATGCTCTGACTCTCATAGGGGCAAGGCCCTCATGCTAAATTTGTCTAATTCAGCAATGTGGCATTCTAAACCATATTTTCCAACATCTATCAGCCTTATTGAAATAAAGGAGCCATTTCACTTTCCATCTGTTAAACCTTATATTTATCTCTAGGAGTTCCAAAATGATTTCAGGGGCAGGTATGTCAATTATTAAGGTTTCTCAAACCATAACATTTTTAAAATTCTTTTATTGGTACATTTCAGGTATACAGTACGTTTACATTTATCATTGGGCGCTTGTACCTGTACATGATGTATCTTGGTTCTTATTTTTTTCCCCATTACCTGTGCACCCTTCACCCCCTCCACCCTTCCCTATTTACATAGATTTCATTTCCATTTTTTTTCTTTTCCTGTAATCTTTTCTTTCCCTTCTTTCCCTTCTCCTTCCCCTCCCACCACCCCTACACCTTTGGACCTTTTCCTATTTCAAATTATCAATTATTCAATTTAATCATTTTAATCCTTATTTACACTTTCAGTTTCTCACACCAGAGAAACTATTCCGTATTTACACATGTGTGTCCTATTTATTTCACTTAAAAGTATAGCCTCAATGTGCATCCATTTAGCTATAAAAAAAAAGAGACAGGAGAGAAAGAAGGAGGGAGAGAAAAAGAGAGAGACAGAGAGCAGAGAGAAAGAAAGGCAAAAAGACGGAAGAAAGCAAGGAAGGTAAGAAGGAAAGAAAGAAAGAAAGAAAGAAAGAAAGAAAGAAAGAAAGAAAGAAAGAAAAGAAGAAAGAGAAAGAGAGAGAAAAGAAAGTTTTCTGCTTCCAAGGAAATTAAAATCTAATGATCCAAAGAAGAAAAAAGTATTTAGCATGCAAAACATAAATTTTTATGAATATAAGGAAATAGAAATATGGATCATTGTAGGGTACATTTCTCAATACTGAAGGGAAATAAAAGTGAAGTAATTAAGAAAAATGGGATTAGACGAGGAGAAAGCTGAAGATGAGATTGAAATGGTAAAACAAGGACTTTCAGATGTGGAGTTGGGGTGAAACTGGGGCCCAGGTAACAGTGTGGGAAAAGTGCAGTGAAATACCAGTAAGTTCTGTGTTGGCTAGCTCATTCATCAGGCAGGCAGTGGGATTCCTGCCAGGCTGGTACCCACTGCGAGTGTCATCCAGAGACTTTGGAGAGTTTAGAGCAGGGGAGTGTCTTGATCGGACTCCTTTTAGAAACTCCCTTAGGTGGGAGAGAGGAAACTGAGCTGGTCTCCAGGAGCTGTAATGGGGATCACAGCATAGTAAGAAGGGGAAGGAACTGGCTGGCCTGCGGTGAGAAAAGCCTTGTGGGGCCATTACTGCTTTCATCACTGAAACCGCAGGAGAGCTCTGGAAGTGACCGGATGAGTGTGAGTGATAAAGTTGGACAGAGACTGGACTCCATCTGTCCTGCAGATCATGGTTGAAATCAGGCCTCTGATACAGGCAGAGTTGGAAAAGGCTCAAGTTCCTTTTAATATGATAGTCTGTAGATGCTTCCAGTAAGTAAGAGCTGTTTTCAAGAACAGCATTAGGAGTAGCTGGGCTACTCCTAATTAGAAGGGCACACCTATAATTCCAGCACTCAGGAGGCTGAGGCAGGAGGATTGCCACAAGTTCAAGGCCAGCCTGGGCTGCCTAGTGAGTCCAAGGCCAGCCTGAACTACACAGTGAGACCTTGTCACCACCGCCCCCCAAAACAAAAAACAAACAAACAAAAAAACTAGCATTAGGGCCCATCTTCTATTGAACATATTTCTTCTCAAATTTATGGAACACTTATTTAAGAGTTGTACAACTAGTGTTATGTAATCAAGTACAGAAATTCAAATTTCTGAAGTGATTTGGACTTTTAAAAAATAGTATTTCAGCCAGGCTTGGTGGCATATGCCTATAGTCCCATCACCTGGACAGCTGAGGCAGGAGGATCACCACGAGTTTGAGGACAGCCTGGACTAAAAAGCGAAACCTTGTCTACAAAAGCCAAAACGAAACAAAAATTTCTGTTCAATGGAATCATTTTAACATTTCTCTTAAAAAGTGTAAATACTTTACAACAATGGTGGGAGAACTGAGTATCCATATAAAAAAGAATGAAGTTTTGTCCCTTCTTACAACATACAGAAAAAGTTAATTCAAAATAGGTCAGAGGCTTAAATGTGAGTTAAAACTAAAACACTCTTAGAAGAATTAGAGGAGGAAATGTTCATAATCTTGGATTAGACATGACATAAAAAGCACAACTGATGAAAGGAAAAAAAAGATAGGCAAGATTTCAAAAATTTAAAAATTTTGGCCTCAAAGAATAATATCAAGAAAATAGGGCCGGGGATTTAGCTCAGTTGTTCTGCTGCCTGCCTCTCAAGCCCACGGTCCTGAGTTCGATCCCCAGTACCAAAAAAAAAAAAGAAGAAAGTAAAAAGAAAACCCACAGAATGGGAAAAAATAGTTTAAATTATTTATATGATAAGGAACTTGTATATAGAATGTATAGATATGCTTACAGCTCAATAAGAAAAAGACAATTCAACAAAAACTAGGCAAAGAAACATGTATCAATAAAGAATAAATACAAATGAAAAAGTTTTAAAAATAGTTTAAATAGATTTGAGTAGATATTTCTCTATCAAAGATAGAGACAATAGACACATAAAAATGCTTACCATGATTTGTCATTAGGGTGACACAAAACCACAGGGAAATGCCACCTCACAAATTCATTATGATGGCTCAATATAGGAATGTAGATAATAACAAGGATTGGCAAAGATACAGAGAAATTGGAACCCTCATACACTGACGGTGGGGATGTGAAATAGGGAAGGAAGCCAATTTGGAAAATAATAGTTCTTCAAAAATTTAACATTAAGTTACCCTGTGAGACTGCAGTTCTACTGCTAAGTGTATTCCCAGGAGAAATGAGAGCATATTTACACAAATCTTCAGAGCAACATTACTTACAATATCTAAAAAATAAGAAAAACAAAAATGATCATCAATGGATGCATGGATAAATAAAATGTAGTGTATCTATAGTATGAAATTGTATTTATTTATTTATTTTTTAAATTCTCATCTGATCAGCCCCAAAGACAATTTTTTTTTTTCGTTTGCTTAAATTCTTTCATTGGTACATTTTAGGTATACAATACATTTACATTTATCATTGGGTGCTTGTACCTGTACATGATGTGTCTTGGTTCTTATTTTTTCCCCATTACCTGTGTGCCCTTCACCCCCTCCACCCTTCCCTATTTGCATAGACTTTGTTTCCATTTCCTTCTTTTCTCATAATTTTTCCTTTCCCTTCTTTCCTTTCCCTTTCCCCTCCCACTTCCCCTACTCCTTTGGACCTTTTCTTCCTATTTCAAATTGTCAATTATTCATTTTAATCCTTATTTACACTTTCAGTTTCTCATACTAGAGAAACTATTCCGTATTTACACATGTGTGTCCTATTTATTTCACTTAAAAGTATAGCCTCAATATGCATCCATTTAGCTATAAATGTTTCTAGTTTCTTGTTCTTTATGGCTGAGTAGTACTCCATTTTATAAAAAAAACCCCACATCTTCTTTATCCAGTTTCCAGTTGATGGGCACTTGGGCTGCTTCCGAGCTTTAGCTATTACAAACTGTGCCACTATAAACATGGGTGCACATATATCATTGTGGTATGATTCTTTTAATTCTTTTGGGAAGATGCCTAGCAGAAGAAAAGCTGGGTGAAATGGGACCTCTAGTCCTAGTTCTTTGAGGTATCTCCATACTGATTTCCACAGTGGTTGCACCAGTCTGCACTCCCACCAGCAACAGAAAAGGCTTCCTTTCTCCCCACACCCCTACCAGTATTTGTTATTGGTTGATTTCTTGATAGCAGCCTCATATTTATTTTTTAAAAAGAAGTTACACACTGATGCTACAACTTTGAAAACCTTATGCAAATGAAAAAAGCCATCAAAAAGGACAACATTCGGGCTTTATAAAATATCAAGAAGAGGCTAATTTATTGATAGAGAAAGTATTTTGGTGGTTGCCTAGGAAGGGGTTGTGGAGGGACTGTTGATGTACTAATAGGTATGGAGTTGGGGTGATAAAAAGATTCTAATGGTTGTTGTGTGATGGTTGCCCAACTCTGAGCATATACAAGAAATAAGGAATAATTCATTGTTGAATGAATTATACGGTATGTGAATTCAATCTCAATAAGGCTATTAAATTTTTAAAAGATGATGTGCTTAATATATTTAAAATAAAATCTTCCTTCCTTCCTTCCTTCCTTCTCTCCTCCCCTTTCTCCTTCAGTCTAATTTATAAGCCTAGGATAGAATATGTTTAGTACATGAATTAAGGTATAATTATATTGTCAGTTAGATATTAAGAAAAGATAGTAAGCCAAAAGTGGAAAATTCATTTAATTAGAGCAACTACAGACAAAGAAGGAGAATAACTGAAGTTAAGCAAGTCTTTCTAACAACAATTATTCTTTATTTCTTTCCACACACATTTATGGGACATTTATTAAACATTTAAGGCACTGTATTAGGTGCTCTTTTATGATTTCAAAGCAACATATAATTCCATAGTATATACCTGAGACCAAGTTTCAAATGTTTTATAACCAATCTGTCAAAGTCACCTTCTCCTTTTCTTCTAGCAAGTAGTTTACAGTAGCTGACTTTTATCTATTAAAAATTGCTTAAAAAGATAAAATATTCAATCACACTTGAAAATCTCTTGATATTTATATAAATTCAAACACTGTATTACAAATTTCAAAACTAGCTGTGTGTCTTGAACAAATGTCTAAGTTTGATTGATAGCACCTTTGAGAATCTTAAAGCCACAAGGTATCGCCTGTGGATAAGCCATACTGGTCTTTCCTTGTTGCTCCATCCACCAGCGGGACTTACAGGTCTGCTTTAGCTTTGAAGGCTGGAAGCCTAGCCCAGTGGGGTCCACAGCCAATGTCAGCCCTGTGGCCCGTGGAGATGCTGACTGTTTAGAGTGCAGGGACTTAGGTTTCCCAAATCAAGTCAGAGCCCACCTCTCCTTAAAGCAAACCTAAAGCTTAGTTCAATGTGACTTAAAGGGGTTGTCTGAGGCCCTCCCACAGATCCTGTGAATCTGCAACTCTGGAGGCAGGTCTGACAATACTTAAAAGCCCAGAAAGTTTGCAATGTACTGTCTACAATTGAATTCAGGTCTGATATGGATTTCTAAGATCCTTTTAAAAGTAAAGAGAGCTTGGGTTTTAAAATGCAGGACACTTCTGGGTTAGAAAAAAGTCCTTAGCATGTTCTAGTTTACAGAATTTATTTGAATTAGATTCGGGAAATTAGGCTCCATGGGCAGGAAGAGTAGACTTCAATTCATCTTTAACTTAAGGATCATTCTTTCCATTTCTTATTATAAGTCCACCCAATTATCTTCCTCCTGGAATTAGCAGTGATGTTATAAAATAATACAGGAGAAAGGTACCTATATATATTCCTGGCAGATTTTACTGCTGTGGAACAAAACACATTTAGGCAACATGCAATTTTCCTAGGGAAATAATGCAACTGTAAAACAAAAATTAAAGGCAACAAACTTTAATCAATTAAGCCATTGAAATATATGCATTATTTTAGGCAAAAAGGGTTTTTTCCATTCAGAGACTGAATTTTTCTACCAGTATTCATGATTCTGTTGGAATCTTATTCTTATTTGCTTACTTAACACTGCTTACTGAAAAATTATACTTTGTCAGACAAATATCTGAAATTTTGTTATATAACTTGACCATATATGTGTTTATCCCCTCTTGATTTTGATGATCCACTTTTAATTTAATTGCTTAGCTATGTCTTAGAGATCCTTCCTTTATAAAGGAGGAAGTGGGCTCCACTTAATTCAACAAAACATGTCCTTTAAGGGGAAAGAAAACTTTGAACAATAGATGTCTGTTTCAAAAACCAGTGCCAATGTTCTGAAAGTACTAATTTGTTTTCAACCACACAACAAAGGCTGATTTGCCTCCTGTCCAATTGATTTGATGTTTATTAGAGCTTTAAAAACATATTACATAAATCCTTAGAAATCTTTTGTGAAGATAAATTCAATATTTTTTAAGCAATGATCCTTTGGTCTCATGATTCATGGCATGGAGATGGCTCCCAGCCTTTCTGAGTTAGGGTGAATGTTGATACTTACTTTTCAAGGAGAATACCATGTAAAGGCTTCCTAATCCTGCAGGGATCTCATGTGTTCTCTTTTCCTGACAAAGTGTTATTTACAGATGGGCCTCATTCCATGTAGGGTCATTTTGAATGCAATAATAAGATTTATATACAGATGCTCCATGACTTATGAGGGGGTTACATAAGCTCAATAAACCCCTTATAAGTTGAAAATATCATTAACTGGAAAATGCACTTAATATACCAAACCTATTAAACCTTATCACATAGCCACACAGGATACTGTATTAGTTGTCCCTCTGTGATTGTGTAGCTTTCTGGGGCACAGAGACAGTGACAAACTATGTATGTCTGGCCTGAGAAAAGATACAAGTTCAGAATTGAAAGGATTATTTCTACTGAATGGGCATTGCTTTTGCACCATCATGAAATCAAATCGTAAGTTAAACAATCATATGTCAGGGACTGTGTGTACATAGGTAAGACTCTAATCATTTAAAAACTTTGTTTTACAAGATCTCCTATAGAAAACTTAGGCAACTAAACTAGAACTGTATCAACTCAGGCTCAGTGACTCTTCTTGGAGGTCTGAGTGCCACACGGACCCCCACTTTGGGATTTGTTTCCTAGTCCAATGGTGAGTTGGGTTCTGTCAGTGGGATTTGGTTCTGTCACACTGTCTCCATTCCCTGCCTCCCCTCCTGCACCATTTTCTATGGAATTCTATGTCTTTCAAGGATTCCCTTCAGGGCTGTTAGGTAAGCACTGATTCATGACTGCTGATCCATAAAACTTATGTTTAATATGTTATCTGTCCAAGCAATGAACTAGTATTTCTGCATTATGTTCATATCCTCATTGCTAAGATATCCATATGTTCTCCAGCCTGTATTGACATGCCAGGTGTTACTGTGGTCTACACTCCAAATCTGGAGCCAGAGTGGCAATGTCTAAGGAAGCCTCCATATAGGCAGCCAGGTAGGCATTCTGACTATCATTTTATTAATAACGTTCAAGGCCTATTGTTTGTAGGCTTTGTACCATGATATGCTGTGTATAATAAGTCTCACAGAGACCCATATCCATTCTTAGCTTTTCTACTTTCAAGGCAAGGGAGACCAATGTCTTCTACTTTGTTCTATGAGTTCTCTTATCCTTAGTGATTTTTAGTTGGTTGATTGGTGATCCTTGGGACTTTGATAAGATGCAAAAACTCCACAAGCAGGGTAGAAGCAGACAGCAGCTATTGCTTTCCTGTATACCTCTCTTCCAGAATGAAAGTAACAGTACAAGATTGTGACCACCGACTGCTATGGATGGCTCTTGAGTGTGGACAGGGCAGATAAGGGCCTGGTCTGAGGGGCTACTTTGGGTAATGTTAGATAGAGAAGGATGACCATAGACTATCCCTGTGAAGTTTGGTTCCTGTACGGGCAGGCCACTGTTCAGACAGTTCATCTGGCACAGTTATATGAAAAGAAAGGAGAGCATTGCAGATAGTTGAATGAATGAAAAGCTAAGCTTTTCCTATTTTCAGGAAAAATAAAGTTTGGGTGGTTTTTTTTAAACAATTAGGGAGTTTTAGGTATAGAATCATCCAAGGATAATATATGTACAGATTATATGGCCTTGATTGTGTTAATGAAGCTATTATTCACATAGAAAATGAAAATCATTCCACTTTGGAAGAACATTTTGCTGACAATGTTTTGAGACAGGCAATACATATGATCGGTTATGCAAACATTAAGAGGAGAATCAAGGCCAGTGCATATCTGTACCTCTGAACAGAGGGAGCCAAGCTGGCCTGGCCCCTCAGCATGCATACCACCCGGGACCAGGACCCATTGTTGGGCAGTGGAATGATGCCTGCCACATTGCACATGACGTTGTAGACATCCACAGATCTAATTGGAGCTGCTCTGAAGTTGGATTTGAAATCTGAAAGGGAAAGCCAAACAAAACAAGCTGTCATGGCTGATCACCAGGTACAGAAGTGTTGAATAACAATGTGGAGGAATTACACTCAGTTCCAGGCAACTTTGCGATAACAAAAATCAGCTGTATCAATCAGCTCTTTCCATGGGCATGACTCATCTGGAGATGAGTCTCTTTATAAGCCAAGCCAGCAAATAAAATTTCCTTGTGCCCAACTGGACTCCTTTGTGACAACATAGCATTTCTGCTGGGACAGAAGGACAAGCTGAAGATGTTCCGTTTCTGCAGAGCATTGAAGAGCCAGTGTGGTCAGAGAAGACTGGCTGCCTTACTGGGCTCTCCTGAAGTGGCATGATCATCTAGATCATCTATCTAGCCAGGACTGATAGCCAGATGTTGATTTCTGCTGCAGAGGACCCATGGCAACTCCAGAATGTTTCTCCATTTTCCTGCCATACTGAGAGCACTCTCTATGGAGTGTGAAGCTGTGTAATGTCCTTGGTGCTGATCACTCACCAGCAATGATGGTTTTTGAAATACGTTTGGAAGATCAATTGAACACTTTTTAGGAGCCTTTCAGGGACAGATAAAATGACTTAACCAGGAGAAAAATGAGCAAACTGGTATTGGAGTAAGAGAAGGCTCCTTTAGATCTAAAGAAGAGCATTTTGCCTCTACTCCAAGCCTGCCTCAAACTCAAGCACTAACACAAAGGGTACAAGAAGTGTAAAGGGTACAGCTGGCCATGATAGCACAATCACCATGGGGCACTGAAGGTGACTCTTGAAGCCATTGGAAGTGTTCTAAACAAGTAAATCTCCTCCTCCAGAAGAGGAAATAAGATGCTGAATGCAAAGCACTTGTCCATTTAAAGACTGAATATAATAATAGAGAAGAATATATAAGCAACTTTGCTTTTAGGCACCAAACAAAAGTGTCCAACAAAATATGTAAGGGGTAGATTTGTGTCTATTAATAAAGATTTGTGTCTTTAAATACCTTTAAAGGAAATGGGTAGTTTGTAGTTGCAAAGCCAAGTTTTCTATCTTAGAAAATAATCTATATAATTGCTTTGCAAAAATAATCACACATACTTTATTTAAAAACCAAACAATAACAATAACATATTCCAAAAATAACAACATCAAATTCTACTTCTGGAATTAAAATATGCAAAAATGTTATATACAGAAAACTCTGTCACATAGCATTTTCCATTCAAGATAACTTCCCAAGCAGTGGGGTTTGCTCACTTTGGAAAATTAAAAGTTGTATTTAGTTGTAAAGAGGTGCATTGGCTCTACAGAAAATGGGCAATAGTAATGGTACCTAAGTCATAGTTCCAGACACACGTATTATGCTTAAGAAATGATCATCATTATTATTATTAACATATACAAAATAAATACCAGCTAGGAGAAACTTTGGATTGAAAAATTTCAGCTTATAAATTATTTAGGAAGTTCATCTTTCTTTTGGAGCAGGAATGATAAGGGTCAGACTCACTTCAAAGCAAAAACTAGTTTAAAAACTCTCAAATCTGCCTGGAGGGGAGAATCCAGGGGCTGCTTCAGTGTCAGCCCCTATTCCACATCAAAGCAAGTTATACAATTAGATGACGATGGTGGTTACACTTCCCCATCAGAAGAATCTGCTGCAGCATGAGAAATCAATGGAAAGTTTGTCTCAGTGATATGGGAGCAGCTCTTCTCTCTCTTCCTGAATTGTCATGTGACCTGGATGTGACAATCACACAGCCCATCACATGTGACCATGCCCTTTTCATGTCTGTGGGTGAGAGGGCATGTGAAATTTCTTACCCAGCTTTTCAAACAAGACAAAACAAAACAGAACAGAATAAAGCAGAACAAAACAAAACAAAACACTGTATTGAGCACTTCATAGGAAAAATTGAGATTGGGCTCTTTTGTCAAAAGCATTAGGAGAGATTCTCATTTTTTGCCTTGAAAGTACAAAATCAAATCTTATGCACATAAACAGGAAGGAGAATGATTTTTTTCACCCTCCAATCTAATTCATGATTTCTTATTCTCTCAGGATGGGACTTTGGCCCAACACAGAGATGATCCAGGTTGGAATGAAAGCTTCTAGACAATGCCTAGTTCAATTTAGGAGGACCCCATTAAGCTCTATAGCCCAAGAGAGCATTTTGAACCTAGACTAGGACTCCTTTTGGGATATTCTCATGGGTCTAATTGTTTTTTCCTTTGGTACCGGGGATTGAACTCTGGTTCTTGTGCTTTCAAGCCAGGTGGTGGAACCACTGAGCTAAATCCCTGGCCCGGATCTAAATTTTTTAGGATGTTAAACAGGTGTCTCCTAAACAGAGAAGTTCTTGCTGTTCCTAGCCACCTTGGGCTGCTGTCAGTGAGCCTTGCTTTCTGGAAACAGCTGAATGAATCACACTCCTGCTGTCTTATCTTGAATGTGGAATTCTCTGGGGCAAGATTAGGTTGTTCAAATTAGAAACTAGGATTAACCAGAGAGGCTGTCTTCAGAATTATTTCCCTTTCTCCTTGCCAGACCAGACTTACTGACTTCCAAGGCTGGTATCTGGGCAGCTGCAACGATGCCCAGTTTCCTCCCTAAGCAAGAACCACACAATTAATCAGGATGGCACAACTTTATCTCCAAGTGCAACGAGATAGCTACTAAAGGGCTTGCTCTTAAATTTTCTTCTGAGTAAACAGTCAGTGTGTAAAGCTGTTTAATCTTTCATGAGAATTGGAGGCAGGAACCTGATGGTTTGTGGGAGGCTCTCAAGGCTATATCTGCCCGGAAGCATTTTGCAATTAGCCCAGTCCATTTTCATCAGGGGTCGCCTTTCTGTCTTTAAAGGACTGAGAGCTTTTAGTGTTAAAGGAACATATGATGGAGCCCTCTGATAATGGAGAAAATGTCCCCACTGAATTGAACTCTAAGTTAATACAGCTTGGGTACTTTGCTCAGAAGTTTCAGTTTGGGGCTGGATTTGGATGTGCTATAAAATATGCCTGAGATTCCTGCTCCCATACACTCCTTCGATACAAAACCATGTTGCATTTATGACCTTACTTTTCTGGGGAAACAGGAGGTGATGCCTTTGACTGAAAGCTCTGCTTAGTGACATTCTCCCATTTCATGACTGTGGAATGGCTTCCACCTAATCTCTAGTTGACTTCAACATAGTCTTCAACACTCCATTCCTAATTTCTCTAGCTTTGGAGCACTGCATGCTGATTTGAGGCTTGGCTGACATGAAGCACATGACAACTTTCCTTTGGTCAATGGCAAAAAGATCAGACATCCTCTTAGGCCAATGCTAGGAACCCAGTTAGTGTCCCACAAATATTTGCCATAAATATGAGGACTTGGGAACTTGGATCACATGTAGTAAATGATTTGGACCAATGTGTCTTAGACTCACCGAAATATCTATGGAGGTTGCAGAAACTGATACCTCATGGTTCTTAATTGCTATTTTGTAGTAAGTAGAGTGAACCAAGGCAGAACAAACGAGATGAGTGAGTTGACATGTCTTTGGTCTTATTCCACTGAAAAGAAGAGCAGAGTCTATGGGTGGATCCCTAACCTATAATTTGAAAGGAAATCATGTACTTTCTTGGTACATTTTTATCAAGATCCGAAAGAAGGCATCTGGAATACAGGTATCAGGATAATTATATTTAATGAAAGAAGATGGGCAGCAGTAAGAATGAAGAGTGGCTCATGAACTAGTCAGCTGATGGTTTATGTCTATTGAACCCTCCTTTTTTGCAAAGAATGGGGGTATTCAGGTGATAATAGGATCTATAGAGTATTTAGTAAACTCTAGTATGAATTTTTAGTACTCTATCAATGAAATCAAATGATCAGATAGACTCTCTCCAGCTCACCTTTCTCCTAGCCCTTTGGCATATAATCTGATCAAGAAAGGCCATGCGAATTTGCTTTTATCCAAGATATCCCTGGTCATTCTGGCCCATTCTCAAAGTCAATCTCAAGGTCATTTCAGAGCCTACCCTTGAGCACATCCTAGCTTCTGGTTGGGCTCTAAACCAAATGAACCCCCCAGGATGGGTGCTCTAGACAGGGAGAAACTATACTAGAGTCAGATCCCTTGAAGCCATCATGTCAACTTTGAGACTCACAGATGTCAGCAACATGGTGTCTGATAAGCTTTCCTGGACATCAGATAGCTGTGAAATAATGCTTTGATGAATTAAGTAAGAAATGAATCACAAACATGTGGAATACATTTTCTTCACTGCACTCAGGATTTAAAATTTACAAGGAAAAGTATTTGGCCACAATTGCCAAACCCAAGAAGCATTTGAAAGGAAGCCAGCAAAAGATGTTTCATGGAGAGCAGCTGGGTTTTCTCAGCTTGGCTCATAAAGAGAATCCATAAAGAAATCACTCTGGCCTTTACTAGGGCGATTAGGCCCTATTAGAGATGCTTCCTTGGGAATGACTAAGGGCATTTGGTCATTTCCTTCCCTACCAGGTCCAAAGGCCAGGAAGATGCCCCTCATATCCATGAGCTCATTGTCATATCCGTGCCATCCACGCTGCCAGCCTTCTCTCTTGCCAGTAGTATTCATCCAAAATGGAAGCATCTCTCGACTCTGAAATCAAGGAAGACAGTGACATTACACTGTGTCTCCCTCCACCATGGTGATGTGAGAGTATTTGGTCCAAGCTGCCACCCAGTGTGGAGATTTCCTCTTCAGCATCCCTGACTGGGCTCATCCAGACTCAGCTGAATCACTTCCTAGTCCAGGTAGCTCAGCTCCTTGGTGGCAGCCTCTTAAAATACTGAAGAGCTCTGGTTAAGAAGGTATTTTCCTACACTGAGCTAAATTTTATCTCATAATTGGTTTTAGAAACACTAAATACAGCATGTTAGAGACATAAGGGATATTAAAGTGTGTCTGTGGTATAATAAAAATATATTTGGTCTTTGTCCCAGGTTTCTATCATAGAGCCTCTAAAACCCTTGGAATTTCCTGAGTGATAGGAATGTCTTTTGTTATTCACAATGAGCCTTTTTCTCCCTTAGGAGAATTTATGCTAAGGAGGTGGGGGACTACAGACACAGGATTGGGAGACTACATAGCTTCAGGGTGGGGCCTAATCATCCCTGAGCAAACCTCCTGATTAAAAGGTTAGAAGTGTCATCTTTGTCCCCCAGCCAGCAGGGAGGGTTAAGGTACTGGAGACTCAGTTCAGTCCCGTGACCAGTGATGTAATCACTGGTGCAGACAAAATGACACCCATATGAACTCCAGAGCAACATGGTTCAGGCAGCTTCCAGACAATGGAAATTCTGTGCGCTTCATCTTCCATACTTTGCTGTCAGCATCTCTGCTATTTGTCTGTTTTCAAGCTGCAACCTTTGTAATAAAACTATAATCACAAGCATAGGAGTTTCTTGAGTCCTGTGATGTATTCTGCTGTTATTGAACCTGAAGTGAAGTCATGAGTACCCTTGACTTTTGTGTCCAAATCAGACATACGTTGTGCTTGGTGTCTAAAGGAGCAGTCTCCCAGGCCTGTGCCCCCAACCTGCTCTTTTAGAGTTATTATTATTATTAGAGTTGGAGCTGAACTGACTTGGGACTCCCAGCTGATGTTGGAGAAGTCTTCTTCTACAACATGATATCTATCCAGTCACCTCATTTCACTAGCAGCCGAAGCCAGGAGGGGCCCCTCGCTACTGTCCCCATGCTCCCCCCACTTATTCAACCATGTGAAGATGACACCAGTGTGCTTATTTAGGCCCTGCAGATTTTCCTTTCCCTCAACCATTCTCCATTTGAGATGGTGTTGTGGCTTGTAGCTAGAAAAGCCTCATGCGGTCATAGCTGAGGCTTTTTCAAAGGTGGCTAGATGTAGAGTATGTGACACTGAGATTGATTCACAGTGCAATGTCAGGATTAAGGGCACAAAGATTAAGGGTGTGAGTGCTACCTGCCCTAAGTACCCTGGATAAAACATAAGAGATACAAAGAGCTGTGAGCATCCTTGTTGTTTTGCTACCTTCTGCCTGCCATAAACTGTTTCTCCCCCGCGACGCCACCCTGCCTTGCAGCCAGCCGATTATGGACTGAAGCATCTATGAACTATGAGCTAAATAAACCTTTCCTCCTTTAACTTTAGGTGTGAGTATTTTGTCTCAGCAATGAGAAAAGTAAGACAGATGGGTTCCAGAACTGTCATTCCCTGTTACCTTTAAAAATAAATTTTCTTAGATTGGCTGGCCATGGTGGTACATACCTATAATCCCAGCACTCTGTTAGACTGAGGCAGGAGGATCACAAATTTGAGCCCAGCCTGGTTAATTTAGTAACTTTATGAGATGCTGTCTCAAAATAAAAAATAAAAAGGTCTGGGATGTAGCTCAATGTGAAGGCCCTCTCTGTTCAACTCTAATAGAGCAAAAATAAAATAATAAATTTCTTAGACTACAGATGCTTACTTGTTGGAAAACAAAGCTTTGAGAAGGTTTTGTAAATCCTGAGGAAGCTGTAGCCCGTTGAACACAACCCAACCATTTGTTGCAGTCCAGTGACTCATTCCTGATATTCCAATCATCTTCCTGCTAAGCCCAGTTTAATATGACACATACTCCAAATGTAGGCGGTAGAATTGGCTAGTCCTGATGGGTTAGTGGATTTAAAACAGTGAAACTACCAGCAGTTGCTAGGCTGGCTCACAAGACTAGTAGCAGTACCATGTATTTAGTGAGCAAGACAGTTCACCAGAGCCAAGTGTTGTGCTCATTTAGTTGTCACAAATCTCCATGTGGACAACACTATTTCCCTCTTTTTGTAATTGGCACAGAGAGGATAAGTGATCCTCTTCAAGTCACACAGGTGGGGAGAGTTGGTGAAGGAATTGGAACTCAGGTCTGTCTCCTGGTCCTTGTGTCCTTACACCATCAAACAGTGAGAGGTCAATGCAGTGATTCTGTCAGAACTGGACAGTGAGCTGCTCGCCCCTCCCCTGTGTCTTTACCAGCAGAGTAGGGCCAGGTGTAAAATACAGAGATGAGATTGGGAATTGATTTGACTGTGAGATTAAATTTCAATTTAAGGCTTTCTAACCCTATGATCCTGGCAAGCTACTTAACCTCTCTGAACTTCAGTTTCTTTGCTGGATAGAGGAATCACAGTACCCATCTCGCAAGGATTTTGGAGGATGACCTTAGTATGTGCTAAGTATGTGCCACACAGTAGTTGCTCAATAAACAGTTGCAGTCTGTTCACCAGATGCCAGGGGCGACAGGGTGAGTGAGGCACTTCGGCTTTGAGGGTTGAACTCTCACTTGCATATTTAGCTGTCATCTCACACTGTACAGCCATCCAGTCTCACCCTGTAAATCACTCCCTAGCATTTCTGCTTTCCAAATTGCCCTATTTCACTGACTCTCTGTTTCCTGAATTTCTATCATTCCTTGTCCCCTCTCCAGCTGGAGCTTGTATTTTTCCATAGGCAGGGCTTATGAACTTATTGCATTTCTAACTTTTCATACTTCTTGTGCTTTATCTGCCTTTGCTGAGAATCGCAACACATCCCAATTTAGCTTTGTCAGCTAATTTAATGTGTTGCTTCTTCCACTCATGGTCTACACAGCAGTGGTGCCTGGCGCAGTAAGTAGAACACTTGTTTTTAACGATCTTACTTACCATGATCCCTGTAGTATGTATGCATCCTATGGAGAGATGAAAGGGGTGAAGACTGACTGCCTTATTAAAAAATTCATCTAAAATTTTAGTCATTTATTTTACAAATAAACACATGCAACAATGAAAACTTCAGCCCTGAAGGAATAGGGGAATCCATCTGATCATAGGTAAACCACACATTTTTCTCAACATTATACATTGCTCCAGCAAAACACTCCTCTTACTTAGTTAAAAAATAATAAACTGGTTATGTTCCAAGGTATGTTTTGTCCAAGTGATCAGACGGGTTAGGTTACTTGCAGAGCCTTAATTTCAAAATGGTACACTGATGATTTTCTTCTTTTCCCTCTCCTGGTGGCTTTTGGCATCTCTGTGTCATATCCCACATTATCTTCCCAAGGCACACATGCAGGGCTGTGCTGGTGGAGAAGTATGTGTCACACAACTCTCAGGCTCCTCCTGGGCATCCCTAGTCTTCAGGCTACTGGCTGAGGAACGGGTCCCACTCAGGCCCTTGGATTGCCATCTAGTGCCACCTAGTGACGTCCTGAGGATCGGGCCAAGGTGAGAAACAAAGGTAGGAGGTGCGTGTGTGTGTGTGTGTGTGTGTGTGTGTGTGTGTAGGCAAGAAACACCCCTCCTTCAAAAGCATGTGCTGGAAGGGGGTAGTGGTCTATGAAAAAACAGTGGTGGAAGAGTTAGTGACTTAGAGGATGGTTTGTTCAATTATGCAGATGTGTACTGAACTCAGGGTCTATATTGGGTGCTCTGCTAGGCTTCTAGGGACATGGAGAGGGCAGAGCTCCTGACTCTGAAGAGCTTCTCACTCCTCAGGAAGGGGGCTTGCAGCTCCTGGGCCCCACCTGTAAGAAAGGTTCAAGGCCTAAAGAGGAGTCCCATGGGGAGAATCAGCCAGTGGGATGGGGCTGTGCTGGTGTGTGTGTGCATGTGAGTGTGTATGTTTGTGTGAGTGTGTACTTATGGATATGTGTGCACATATGTGTGTGTATTTATGTGTATGCTTCTAAGACTGTGTATGATTATAAGACTGAGTGTGTGTGTTGGGGTGGAGGGAGGGAGAGGAGGGACCACAACGAGGAGACCACACACAAGGCTCTAATCAAGAGGCTGGCGATGTCCTAAGAGACTTCTCTTAGCTGAAAGCCTGACTCCAAGAAGGCCCTGAGAAGTAAGGAGACCGTGTAGAGCCTCCTGTGGGAAAAGAAAACCAGGAGAAAGCAGCCATCAGAGTGAGGCTGCTGGAGGTCAGAGAGACTAGAATTTCTGCTCTCCTGACCATCTGGGGATATGTCAACCAGGAGACCAACTATCCCAGAGAGCTTCCAGGATGCCAGACCTTGAGTTTTAAAAGCAAGACAGTCCCAGGATAACTAGACAAGTTTTCCATTATGCATTCAACTCTAAGGAATTTAAAGAAAATCCTCACCCAAGGTGACCTGTTCAGTGCTTCCTCGCACCTCCCAGGAGCCTCTCATGCCTGGAGAAGCCAGTGCCTGGCCCTCTTTGATGTGCCACTCAGCCAGTTAGTCATTTCCAATGGGAAAGAACCAGAAATAGATCATTACACAGGGGGGTGCTGTGAGAAATAGCTGAATTGTTTTGCTTTGACTTGGGTTCCTTTATATTGGTTCCTTTATATTGGTTCCTTTATATTGGTGCCTTTATATTGGTGCTCCATTACTAGTGTGCCGTGATAATGCCTACCATGAGCTTGGGATGCCGGGAATGATTATGAGATAAAAGTTTCAAGTTTATCCATGAGTGATGGTGCACATCTGGAAACCTAGCATTCTAGGAGACTGAGGAAGGAGGACTGCACGTTTAAGGGCAACTTAGTGAAACCCTGTCTCAAAACAAAAATTAAAAAAGGACTGAGAATATAGCTCAGTTATAGGTTCTAGACTAGTCTTTGTTTC